AAGATAGGAGAGAGTGGGATCACATGTCTCTTGTGTGTCCAAGATTGAGCCACGTGGAGTGAATTTAGTGAATTAATAGTATATTCCCAAGGAGAGAGGTCCCACCGTAACGCTTTTTGGTTACAGTTATCGGATTCAACATCAACAGCATCGACCACGAGAATGGAATACGAAATTACTACAATATCCTCAAACGATATTTTAGGGACATGAATTTTAATGACGGAACGGACCCTTGCTTCTAAGAATAGCAACGGTTTGGGATTTGGCGTTTGGGATGAGAAAGTGGATTAAGATTGAAAATCCGTATAGTTACGAGTGCGGGGATAGGAAAAGGTTATCCCACCTCGTTCTGTCCTGTTTATAGTACTTTTTTAAAAAAAAAAGGGATTGGTTTGAAAGGAAAAATGCTATCACTAATTCATGGTTTGCATATCGTTCAATACGCAACGTATCGGTCGAGTGGATCTTTACTCTAAGGATGGCAACGGATCAATTTAGGACGAAAAACGTTATCTCCAATTCATGGTTCGCGTATCGTTCGCTATGCGATATATCGGCCGATACTCGACTTTTTTTTAAGTTTGCTACGCGATTCGTATCGGTCAGTTTATATTGATTTTGTCCGAATCCGTTACACCGCGACTACGACCAATACCACGACCGTGACCGATACTGCAAAACATGATCCCCATCCCCATTTGCATCCTTGTTTAGAATAATTATATACATTCTCGTCTCAAAACTGTTTATTAAACCGGGTGGGGTGCGATGGCAGATTTTGTAATGTATTCTCATAATTGTATTACAAATCTAATGAAAATAAATAATAAAACCAAATTTCAATTATGAGCATATATATATATATATACTTTTCTCTTATACAGATAAAAACAAAATTTAACTTCTCAATTGAAACTTAATATTAAAATTATTATTGTAACATCAAAATAATACATAAAAGTTCTCTAATAATAATAATACAAAAGAATATTTAGTGATTGGAAAAAAATAAATTATGATTTGCTTACTATATACCTAATATTATTCAATATAAAATAAAGTATAAGGATAAAAATAATTAATCAATATAAACGGGACAGGACGAGGTGGGGTGACCTTTTCTTATCCCCACCCTCATAACTACTATGTGGGTTTTCAATCTTAATCCACTTTCTCACCCCAAAACTTTTTAATTAGTCACATTCTAAACGGGACAGAGCAGGTACCCGACTAGGTATTTTGCCATCCCTACTTACTTCATAATTATTTAAGTAACAAGTCCATTAATAGTTGATTACTGCCTATCGAGTTATAGTAATGAAGTAGATTCACTGGTTGAAGACGCACACATAAATAAAAATACATTTATTTTAATAAATTTTTTCACTATGTATTTATTTTTAACTAATAGGTGATACCAAATCATCATTATAACCAGAGCATTTTGATTTTTTTTACTTCTGTTATTCTGAATAAACAAAGAAAAAGTTTTTCACTTCAACTCCACTTTTAGAAAAGAGGCCGAGATTTCAAATTTCAGTCGGAATAAAGTAATAAAAACAATAAAAAGAAAAAGAAAACAACAAAGTCTTAGAACTCTACCACGTGTGGTGGGTTTAGTCCTGAAAAATTGAGTGAAACTAACTTGAGGAAAAAGTTGTGAACCACTTCATTTTATCACTTATTCAAGTCCTTTCAAATTAACCTTTATTATTTCTTGTGTGAATCTAATTACTTCCTCAGAATTCTTGGCTTTCAAAAATAATGTATTAATTTTATAATATTTTTAAACTATGCATTTAAAATTGACTTAATTAAACGTGTGGACTATTTACTCATTTGTTTTTTAAAAAATGAGAAATTAAAAAATTCACTATTATCAGTACAATAAAAATATATATATTAAAAATTTACTACTAAGTTGAATTTCTCAAACACCCTCACGAATTTTGAGACAAAGGTACAAATATAAGGTTTAGTATTCTAAAAAACAAAATCATATGGCACTAGCCAAACGAGGACAAAGAGGTCCCTTTGAGCGCCTTTTTTTAATTTTTTTTTTTTGTTTTGGGGGTTAAGTCTCTAAATAAACTTGAATAATCAACTTTTAATTTTAAATTTTAAAGAAATACCACTAGACTACTATAATTGATGGTTATTTTTACTCAAGTTAAATTAGTTTAATACTAACTCCCAATTTAACTAAGATAATTTCAAATGTATAAGAGAGTACAATTGAATATCATCATATACGTAAGTGTCATGTTACTCAAGTGATTGAATTGCTCCATGTGTCAGAGCCTTGTATCCTCCCCTCTAACGATTAATCCCTAACATTCTTGTCACAAATAAATAAATAAATAGCATCATATACAAACCCAATAAAAACTAGGGAAAAGAGGCATCTTCGTTTTGTGTGGCACTATACAAAATCCACATCCTCTCCAACCAAAAGCCAATGACTTAGCCTAAGTGGTTCCAATGATGAATGGGATTAGATTTTGGGTGCCTTAGAATTGTTGGGATTTATATGCCCTGGCATAGCAAATTCCTATCTGAATTAAAGTGACATATGTTTCTGAAATATTTATACTTTATACAATTGGTGAATTCAATGTATTATATTTCGATTCATTATAAAATTGATAGTATCCACTTGATTACAAGATATATTTATATATGTATGTGATGGCGATCAATACATAAATACAAATAATAATCATAAATTGTTCATAGTCGGTAATTATGGATGAATTCATAATTAATTAAGACTTAAACTGGATCCGCGTTAGGTTGAGATATATTGCGAGAGCCGTCGTATGCAATTGCTCCCTATCACCGTCATGACATTTGACTCTTAAGTATGAGAAAATTATAAACTATTTTATTAATTAATAATTACTTTGATTTGTTCGGCGAATTCTTCGGAATCTTTATACCGACACTTTGAGTAGTTATGTAATTAATAGTTAGAGGATTATATTTTTAATATTTGCATCATTGCTACTTATATTTATTGTGTATTGATTATGGTTGATATTTATTTTGTATTGATTATGGTTGATCACAAAGTAAATTCGAAGGCCTTCGTATGTTTTTAGACAAAATGATTTATTATATATTTATTTATTTAAATTATTATTTTTTGTCAAACAAATATTTATTGTGATTGAACCAGAAATAATTAATAGTACCAAAATCAATATATTAATTAAGTAGTCGGATTGATGGCTTTATTTATCCGACAACTAATTATGCATAGAGGGGTCAAAGTGCAACATTGATTTAGAGGTTATTTATTATCTAATTGGAGTTCAATTAATTTCTTTTAGTGGAGTAGAAATTAATTTATGAATTAATTGAATTGGGTCCAAGGACCGGTCCAATTATTAATTCATTGTAGCCAATAAAATAATAAGCCCAAAGGATTTTCACTCATAACCCAACTTGATATTGGAATCATATTAGATTTGAGACATGTGAATTAGAGATTGAAAAGGATTTATTGTTTCCTTTTCTTTATCTTTATGTTGCCAATATATATACATGGTTTGTATATATTTTGGGGGTGATTTTTATGAGAAGGAAAAAGAAATATATTTTCTCTCTTTAGAAAATTAGGGTTAGTGTTCTCATCTAATGGAGGCTCTCATAAGCCTAGTTTTTCAATGTCATTCATGGAGGCTTATGAGTGATTCCTAAAGGCAAAATAATTACCAAGAAGATAGAGATCTAAGGAGAAGGCACCTTACTAAGGGATCTACAATAAGTGAGAATATTCACTTTAGAGGAAATATTTAAATGTTTACTCAGACCTTTGATGTAAGTATTCAATCTATTAATTGAATGATACATCATATTTTATTTTTGCATAAAACTTGTCTCTATATGATGAATCAAGATTTATGAATCAAAATCTCTCAAAAAGTTTTTAAAACTAGCACGTTTCCCAACAAGAACATGTCATAAATGTACCCACTCAATCAAATATAACATCTTCAGAGGGATGAAGGTCCATAACGGACTTGCAATCACCCTCCACAATAACTTGGCTGTAGCCCCACCATTTGAGAAAAGTGAAAGACTCCCGAAGCACAAGACCTTCAGCCACAGTTGAATTACAAACATTTCTCAGAAAAACAGACGCCACTCTAATGGGCTGTCCAAAGTGGTTCTTAAGTAAAATGCCACCACTACAAGACTTGGAAACGGAACAGTAGGAAGCGTCAAAGTTTAATTTGAGACTGCTAAAGCATGGGGCAGTCCATCCAGAGGAGAGAGGGGGAACAAAGATAGGGGAAAGAGAAAGGAGAACATTCTGATTCATAACCTTTCGGAATTCATGGAATTTATGACGGCTCATTGGGAAGTATTGGACAGATCCCAAAGAAAGTTATTGAACATGAGATCATTTTTGCACTTCCACATAGACCAACAAATAAATGCCGCCAAGCCAATGCAAGCTGACGAATCATCACAAGCATTCCATAGCCAGGCCAATGTTCCTTCCCTTTTGCTTTCTTGTGTGGGTGCTTCTCTTGTTTGGACCCCTCGTAAAGGAAAATGTTATTGCTCATCTTTTGAGCAAAAAGGCTTTGGAAGCTAAATGTATTAATTTCGAGTGAAGCATATGGTTGGAGTGGTTATTAAATGCTTGCACTTCTGAATGTATTCTATTATCAGTCTAATGTTAGTTCTTTTCGTTATATATATATATACATATATAAATATATGTATAAAACATATTCTCACTTTATTAGTAATATTACAAGTAAGTGGATTAACTTTTTTTTTGAAATAATACATCGTCATTGGTGGGGGCATACCAATAATTATAATAAGGGCATCACATGGTTCATTTGCCACAACACACAAGTGGTTAAAGGGCAAAAAGGTCAGTTCAAATAAATCAACGCTTTCATCACTTGCGTTAACGACTTGGCGCTACTTTCGTAATTTCGTCCACTCATTAAAGCCCATAAACTATATGATAAGGGGAAAATAAAATAAAAAGAATTAATAATTACAAATTAAAAAATGAAAAATGAAAAAAGAGACCAGAAGAAACCAACGGCCATCTCTGTTTCACACAGCGCTCTGAGACTGAACAAAAGAGTTCAACTTGACGGGTACGTTAATTCATTTATGTTTTCTTCTTTTTTATTTTTATTTTTATTTTCATTTTCTATATAAGGACTTGTTATTGATCTTCGATATACATGATTACTTTAATGTTAAATGGTAGGTAATGGGTGTTTATCGGCACTTTGATTCAATGACAACTTAATTCATATTCAGCTTTCTTTGTTTTTTTTTTTTTTTTTTTTTTTTTTTTTTTTTTTCTCTTTTAATCTTTCATTTTGATATTGAATTCTTATATGTTTTTTGAAAAAAAAAACCATTTATATGATATTTTCTTTGTATTGGATCTGCAATTATAAGTTGGTACAACTTGAAGATCAGAGAGTAGTGTGAATTTAACTCATATAAGAAGCTGTTGTTCCGGTGATCATTTGAGCTTTCGAAGTTATCAATATATATATGTATATTTGGGTATGTAAGTAACTGTGTAAAAGAAAACCTGTATATATTATTCATCATGTGTGTATCTTCTTATTATATACACAGCTATTTATTAAAAGAAAGCTGATATGAATAGGATTTGAATAATGCTTTGAATTTTTTGATCCTACAATTTGGTGCTTTCCAATTATAATTCCCCATTTTTTTTTTTTTTTTTTTTTTTTTTTAAAGTGATGGCTATCTCACTTCTAATTTTGAACTTCCAATTTTAAATTTTTTCTTTTTTGTTTTCTCTGATTTTATTTTATTTATTTACTTATTTGTTTTTTTCCCTCTCTAATAATTCATATATATATATATATATATATATATATATATATATATATATTAATTGATGATACTCAATGAATTGTTTACATTAAAGAAGTGTTGAACCTTATACCTAATATTTTAATAAAATATATAAAAAGAAATTGTCAAATGAATTCTCAAAATGTTTTGTATTTTTATTTTTTTATTTTTATTTTTTTTTTGTGTAAAAGAATTATTCTAAAGAAAGTAAACAAAGTTTGACCCTAACAAGGGAGGTTAATGTCATTTTTGAAACGATAGGGAAAGTCTTTGTTATTTAGGCATTCTATAAGGGAGGCCAGTGTAATTTACCTATTTTCAAATTATAACAAATTGTTTTCATTTCATATTAGCACTTCTAAATTTTTGCATATTTATTAGCAGAAAAAAAGAATTATTGGAAGATGTCTTCAGTAGTGAAAAACATGGTGATAAGACACACAAACGATGTACATGCTCAAAGACTACTACTAGTGTTGAAGGAAAAGTGTGTTGATCAGATTGATGTTGTTAGAGGGAACCGTACTGCGTCGTTTCATGTGAGCCAGTGGTCCGGTAAAGTGCGAGTCACTCGTTGTCAGGACTCGCAAAGCAATACAAATGGATTCGCCTTTGGCGCCACAAAGTCCAAGAGACGCGAGCCACCACTTCGGACCCGGTCTCGCTCGCAAGCCATTCTCACCCCACTATCTGACCCGACACCAACCACCAAAAAGGTACATATTATGGATGAGATTTTTATTTCTTATTTATTTAGTAAATTCATTCTTTGAGTACGATTAATTAGAGTAAAGTTTTAATTTTTAATTTTTTTTATCAAAGAGTGAAACTAAGAAAAGTCAATTATACCATTCATTATGATTTTATTTATTATTATTATTTTTTTAATGACGGTGGTGTCGGGTCTCTTATACTCAATAATTCGCCAACGGAAGTGTGCAGTCTCTCAGTTCCATATGCACCAGATAATTATCGAAATAATTCTCTAAAAGTAACCTAATCTCCAAATAGTGAGTTCAGAATCTTTGTAGCTAGGTTAGTATTACCTACCTATTTAACAAACTAATTTTTAGACAACCAAATAACTCAAAATTTTAGCCGACTGATTTATGGTTAGCCAAAAATGCATAACATGGCCAAATACCACTCTGCTAATGTTTTGGCTGTTTGGTTCTACCTATAGCAAGATTCTTATTCTTAACATCTAATTTACTTTCCTTGGTTAGGGATCTTAATGTGCACGATCTAGTGCAGTGACGGACTTAGAAATTTTATTGAGGGGGGCGTCATTGAAGAATAAATAAAATTGAAGACAAATATTTTTAAAATAAAATAATAAATATAAGAATTTTTTTTAAAAAAATTAGTGGGGTAAAAATGTGAAATGGAGTATTTTAAAAAATTGAGTTGGGGTAATTTTGAAATTTTAATTGAAATTATAGGTAATAATGTAAATTAAAAAAATTGAGTGGGGGCATTTTTGAAATTTTAGTTGAAACTATACGTAATAATGTAAATTAAAAAAATTCAGTGGGAGTGTTTTTAAAATTTTAATTAAAATTATAGATGATAATATAAATTTTAAAAAATTCAGTGACGGTATCGGCTCCCCTACTGGGCTGAATTGAGTCCGTGCCTCATCTAGGGTATAGAAAAGAGTGGAGTTCGTCCTATGGGAGGTGTGGACCTCACCTCTGGGGTGATTTTTATATCCTTCCTAGAATGGTCTAGTGTGCCGAAGAGAATTCAGGTTCGGGATGTCGAAAAGAATTCCTTCCTTTGCTGTTGCTTGTGCCTTAGTAAATCCATAAATAATCTATATAAAATGATTGCGAAATTAGAACTTCGCCCCCCCTAGTTGTGGAATATTGGAATTTATAATAGACAACAATTAGAAAGTAAATGGTACCAAATACCAATAAATAGCAAGGCAGAGTAATGATATCTTACGAGGAGTGACAGATTTAGAAATTTGTTTCGGTAGGGGCGATTTTAAACAATAATAAGGTAAAAAATAATAATATTAAACTTAATTATAAATTAATAATATTTTCGTAAAATACATTAACAATTGTCCTGAATTAGTTTCATGTTTTAAAAATGTTACAACAATGCTAAATATTTGGCAAGGATAGTAATTCAGTAGTATCTCATTTATTTCTTAATCATAAATTAATTAGAACCTTTTCGTATTGTTGAATTTATACTTCTTCCATGAAGAGATGGATTGTCAACGAAAAGAATATAAATAAAATTATGTACTTAGTTATTTAAAGAGAGAGAGGTGGATGATAAAGGGAGAGGTAGTCGGACTAGAGATGATGGAGTTCTTGGCTAGAGTTTATGTGCAATATGGGCGTGAGTGAGAGAAGAAAAAAACTAGCCGTCAGTTTTATTTTTTCCCTCCAAAACCCACCCATGGGCAATATAGAAATCTCAAAAAAATATTCTCTTTATGTGATATTAATAAAATATTAAGGGGTATTGTAGTCATTTAACATGGACAATTACTTGAATAAAACGTCGGTTAGTTTGGAGGGAGGCCAGTGTAATTTTTTAAACATTAGGGGTACCGTGTGTAGTTAAGCCTAACCTTGAGGGAGGTAAGTGATATTTTTCCTTTTTAGGGAAGGCGTGTGTAACAAGTTTCATTTTTAGGGGAGGCTTGTGTAATTTTGCAAATCATAAGGGAAGTCCCTATAATTATAGCAAATCATATAAGAGGTTCGTATAATTTACCCAAAAACTCAAATTGGTAGAAGTTGTAGCATTTATATATACAGTATATATATATATATAGACAGAGAGAAAGAGAGCTACAAATGAATTGAGCCGAATCGAGCTTGAATCTATTAGGGTTCAAGTGATGAGTTCGAAAAGTTAAGTGACGAGGCCGCTTGTATACGCCAAAATAATGTAGTGAATGTGCGGTCCAAGAGAAATCTTTTTGGTCAAGTTTAAATTTATAAAAACCACTATCACCACTACTACTAACGTAGCAAGAGTGAGTAGGGATCGTCCCAAGGGATTATACTTGTTGGAATTTAACTTCGACTTTAGTGGATCACAAAATTGCAAAGGAGAGATTTGATGAGATGATTAAACTACTTCAATTAATAGAAATGCAATTAAAATAAAACTAAGTTGAGATAGGGATTTAAGAGATGAGAAGTGAGGTCTTGGGGTACATTGGAATCGCCACCAAGCTTGTTCACCAAACCACACACTTTCAACTAATTTGGAGAAAACATTCTTGTGAATAAAATGCGACTATTAATTGCAATATTAAGCATGTGCCATCAAATTCATATATGAATTGTCTACATAACCAACAAATAAACTAAATGTAGCACAACCTATCAATTCTAAGTATGACCCATCAAACTAGTAACAATTGTAGCACACATCAATTTAGAGAATCATAGAATTTGCAATAATAAGTCATAGAATATCAAATCATGTAAAGATTGTCTACCTACCTACAAGCATGAATTAAATTGTAGAACAACCCATCAAGCATAAGAATAATCCATCAAAACCTATTCAATGAATACCATATATAGCCATTACTATATCTTTAATTAATCACATATAGACATGCAACCAACATAGAGAAACTAGTGTAGAGATCAATTCCCAAATAATCACACATAAGATAACATGTAATCACAAAGAGAATCAATAGGAAGAATTAAACCATATAAATCATGTGAAACATAATTTCCAATTTAATCACATATAGATATATAAATAAACTAGAGAATTAATAGGAAGAATTAAACCATAAAAATTATAGAAATATACCAAGATTCATTTTATTCACAAGGCTATAGCACTAATCACAAGATAAATTCCCCAAAAAGTTAAGAGATAGTAGTTTAGATTACAAGCTTGGGGCTCATCCAAGTCCTAAGGAGAAGTCTAGTCAATCATGGAGGAGGTGAGTATGATCTTGGAACCCTCAAGGGTAATCCCCAAACATTGCTCCATCTTCTTTATCTTTTTCTTTGTTGAATTCTAAAGAGAGAGAGTGTGTAAATCTAAAGATGTGTTCTTGGTGCCTCCACTCTTCTCTTTTCTTCTAACCCTAATCTCTAACTTTTATAGAGAGAGAAAATAAAAATTATAATAAAAAAACATTGAAGACTAAAGATATGATATGATATATTACAAAAATGGTTCAATTCCCTTTAAATACAAGGTCATTTTCTTAATCACTAAGTCAGAAATATAGTCCCAAAAATATCTAATCCCGCAACTATGTGGTAGGTGGAGTTCGAGCACGCGGAAATAAAATAGTTCGCTGCCAGCACATTTTCGATCAATCGAAGAAATCTTCAATCCATCCAATTTTTTAGCATTTTTTTTTACCTTTTTTCAGATTTTTCCGAAATATTCTAGGAACTTTTGTTTGACTCCAAAAAGGCTATAAAAGACCATTTTTAGCCTGTTTGAACCTTATTGACTTGAAATAGACAAAAATACAAACAAGTACTAAAACGGGAAAATAAAGATAGATGCATGGACTAAAATACCCTTACTTAGGTGCTAAAATGCGTCACATTTGAGCGCTCATCATTAAGCTTGAACACGGCTTGTCATTATTTTAAAAAGTTTAGAAGCGGTTCATTTAATAACAAAAGTCGTGTGTCTTGATTTGATCTCATGTTGAAATCACTTTGACTCATGCATAAACTTGTACGAGAATACACAAGTTTATGGTTATGAGCTTCCATTCATGAACCTATGCAAGCCTACATAATTTTACGTTTATGAAAGTATTCATGAATATATGCGAGTTTACATGAACTTAGTGCTCACAAGCCTAATAGTGTTTGGGATCGATTTGTTAACTGAATGAGCCAAAAATCATATTCAAAGTTCGGCTCCTTTACTTAATGAAAAAGCTCAAGCCGATTGCCCGAGCTTCATTAAATTGTAATCATATATGTATTTAAGAGGAATGGGGCTAATTTGCTTTTTGTTATGCAAGTAAATTTACACAGATATGTATACTAATTCGTTTTTGAGTAATGTTACATAAATGGATTGGTTTTTGTAGTGACTCCAAAGATAAGAGTCCAAAGAGACTCTCGTGATCAGTTTAAAACGAATATAATCTCTCTTTAAATTGTTTATCTCAAGTTTATCATTTGAGTAATGATATATATACAGAATTTTCAGACCTAAACCCATCCATTTGATATAGTGGATATATAAATTCAAAGGTAAGGTCTTACTCAATATATCAAATGGATAAGAATTTTAGAGTGTGTTTGGTTAGATGAAAATTTATAATGGAAAATAAAAGTGAAAAAAAAGTGAAGTAGAAGAAAGGAAAATCAAGTTTGTATCATTCATTTGGTTAGCAAGAAATTTTTTGAAGAAAATTGTGAAAAAATATTATTTTGTTAGTTTGGATAGTATAAAAAGAAAAAGAAAATAATTATACTTACCAAAATACACTTCTGATTTCAAATACTAATAAAATAAATAAATGAGTAGTGATACTCACACACAATACTTGTAGTGAATTATCTAACGTAATAATTTTTAATTGGCTATTTATACCAAATACAACTAAATAGAGGGCTCCGCTTCCTTATTTGTTGCATAATTGGCCAATTAAAAAAGTAGATTCCTTATTTATTACATAATTGGCCAATTAAGTAGGTATATGCGTTGACAAATCAACCATGCCATTAAAAATATATTTATTTATATATTGACAATTTAACCATGTCTAAGTATATTTATTTATACATTGACAATTTAACCGTGTCTAAGTATATTTATTTATACATTGACAATTCAACCATGCGTTCACAAGTATATATATTTATACTTTTAAATTAGCAACTCATTCATGCTTCCTATGCATGTATTTTATTCATACAAATACTTAGACAATATATTAGGCCTTTGGCAATTCATCTATGCTTACAATTTAACCATGTACCAACTTTAAACTTAACAATAAACTATGTATACTATACGCATATTGTTAATTTAATAACCAGCCTACCAAGATATACTAAAATAAGAATAATTCATTGCAACTATTTGGTGCAAGAATTTTTTTCCTAAATAAAAATAATTTATTTTAACAAAGAAATAGTAAAATATGAATTATGAATTAATTATTATTATTATTATTATTTTCGTCGTGGTTTCAAGTTTAATGATCATGAACTGAGGACTTCATATGTGTTTGATTTTTCGTAGGTGTCAGTCATTTGAGGTACAGTTTTGATTTAATTATTTAGAGCAAAAACTTAACACGTAAACGATAACTCTAATTTGGATAAAATAGGAAATTAACATACAAAAGAATAGTTTTCGCAAAAAAAAAAAAAAAAAATTCCTTGGTATAACCCATGATGATTTAGATACTTGACTGAGGTGCCATTTGCTTGATACGGGAATCTTATTTCCTTGGTTCGTTTGGTTAGACAGAAATAAATGGTGGAAAGTGAAAGTGAAAGAAAGTGAAGTAAAGAAAAAGAAAATTAAGTTTCCATGGTGCATTTAGTTAGCGTGAAAATTTTTCAAGAAAGTTGTGAGAAAATATTATATTGTTAGTTTGGATAGAATGAAAAAGAAAAGAAAATGATTGTACTTGACAAAATTGCCCTTATAATTTTAAATACTAAAAATATAAATAAATTTAAGTAAAATTAATTCATGCATCAAATTTTGTTGTTGATAATAATATTCTGAACTTGTATGAAACACCAAGTCACCTGAATTACTTTAGTAAATATATATATATATATATATATATATATATGATTTAGACATTACAATTTATATAGTAATTGTAAGGACTTTGATGAAATCGAATAAGATTAGAATTGGTCCACTATATGTTTGTTTATATTAGAATAACCAATACCAATAGAATTTTACATAAAACAACTAAGTTTATGAGGGTTTTCTTTTTGAATTTAACTAAAATTATATAACTATAGAATATTTTGTATTTTTCTTTTTAATAAATGTATATATTTCCTAAAACTTATAATAACTTTAATATCCAAATTCTAAAATCTAGTTGATATGTATATAAATTAATATAATGCACTTTAAAAAATAACCACCATAATATGTTATATGTATATACCTATTTGAAAAAAAAAGAAGAGAAAAAGATAAAGGAAACCAATTGATAATTAGGGGTATAATAGGAATTTAAAATATAACTTCACAACTTTCTCGGGAAAAAAAAAATTTCGCGTGTTTTATACAGGAATCGTTTTAGAGAAAATTAGCTATTTTCGGGAATCCCAGTTTCCTGAAAACTTTCCGTTCAATCATAAACAAACGTACAAAAAGTTAAAATATTTTTCGATTCTTGTCCTTTTTTGTTAGTTCTATCTAATCAAACGAACCCTTAAAAATTTTATTTTCAATCTAACCATACTTTCAAAAGAATTTAAGATTTTTGGGACAAAATGATTCACGTCTACTTGATTTCTATCCGTTTGATGTAATAAATAAATTCAAAGATAAATTCCACTTAGTACATTAATTGGATAAGAACACTACACTCAACAAATAAGTTTAAAAATTATAATTTTTCTTATCGTTTTTATTTGTTTTTTTTTGGTATGCAAGTAAATTTGCACATACCTATTCCCAATGCAGATGTGTGATCTTTATCATCTTTCTTATCGCTTATATATATATTTTTTGGTACGCAATTAAATTTGCACATACCTATTCCCAATGCAACTGTGTCATCTTTATCTTTTATTTCAATTCTCATTGTCTTTATATTACCAAATTTTATTTCAATTCTCATTGTCTTTACATCACCAAAATCAACATACACATTGAATACAATATATATAAGTTATAACTACAATTCTGGTACAAAATGACCAACAATCTTGGCGGTATCTAGGCCATTTATTTCTCAACCAGCAAGTTGTTGCATGGATTTGTTTGAATAGTAAATTAAGGCACAATTCCCAAATTGGTATACTACACTACCTCTGTTTGCATCAGTTGTCATGACGACATGGGCTTCACTGGCCACATAGCAATTTTTTAGCCTACGTGTTTTAATCCTAGGTAAAGGCCAAGACCAATATTATTGGGTCCCACTTCGGACCAATACTTAAACCAACTTTGAGCACTCTGTGATCTTGCATTTGCATTTCTTGAACCAACAAGCACTTCTTGTGGTTGCTTTCTTTGTCAACACCACCATGAAGGTAAGTCATGAACTTCTCTCTCAATTTTGGTAAACCCATGTTATATACCAAAAAATATGTATAAAATCAAACTTTTTAAACATATGTTATACCAAATACAGTATGAAGTAATAGATAATATGTAGGGAATCAATATTCTAAGCTGCAATTCAATTTAGATTTCTGATTTTGTTTCTGGGTAGTAGCTATTCTAATTTGATTTGGTTTCTGGGGGATGATGACACATATACATGATTCAATCTCCATATATATATATATATTATAATTATTTTTTTTAGTTGGTACTCACACACACTTGTTTTTGTTGAGACTTGAACCGCTGACCTTCGAGATAAGAGACTGATACCGTTAGGCCACTGACTCGTTGGTAGTAGCTATTGCTATAGTTTTTTGATCACTGGGGTGGTGAAAGGCTAATGCATGAAAGATTTCTCTCTCTCTCTCTCTACACACACACATACACACATTTATAAACATATCTGTCTTCTTCTTTTTAAATTGGTGCAATTGTGTTTTGTAATGCTACAAGCATGTAACTCCTCTGTTCTTGTTGTCACAGAGAGTATTTACTTTTGGCAAAGGAAAGAGTGAAGGCAACAAAGGCATGAAGTCCTTGGTCAGTAACCTATTACTACTTTCTACAAGCAAAAACCTCATTTGTTTGTTCTTGTTTCAGTTATTGATTAATTTATGATCAGCTTTTTTCCGTCTCAACATCTCTGTTTTTCCTTATTTTATCGTCGAAGTTACTTGGGTGCATTTGGACACTGGTTGAATTTAGTGCTTTATGAGAAATGTAGCATTATTAGTAACCCAAATATTTGTTCGGAGAGCAAGCCTATCACGTGTCCAGTGAAAGCGCCTAAGTATAGCTTTTTCCTTCTTTGAAAGATGGAAATTTATCTCACTGAACTATTCATTTTCTTGCAACATCCAAATATTTGTGATGCTTTCGCGGTCGTTAATTAGATCACCCTAGAGGTACATTGTCATCAAGGCCTTTGTAGCACAGTGGTTAATTAGTGTCCTTGGAATGTGGGGGTGAAGGGCTTGGTTTCTAGAATATGGCATATTCTCTCATTTCAAGTGTTTTAGATTTGCCAAGACATATGGCGTAAGGGGTTGACTCCAGTGGTGCAGCCCTAAGACTTGGTGCCTCATGGGTCATGAAGCATTACGTCTCAGGTTTGAAACCTCTCGAGTGCAATCAATCTCTTTGGGGCCACATCTGTGGCATAGCCTTACTAGTTCCATGTGAGTGTGTGTTGGGGGTTGGGGGGATACCCAGTAGTTCAAAAAAAAAAAAAAAAAACCAAAGACACGTGGCCTAGCATTAGAGGGGGCTGGTCCCACGTTGGATCAGGATGGGGAAGGACTTGGGGTGAGTGTGCAAGACTACTTACCAGTGGTCCGAGGGCAAGTCTCTCTCAGCGCATTTTGAGGGTTATTTGCTGGGATAAAAATAAAAAGAAAGTGTCTTTGATTTATTTCATTCCATAAACAATTGTTTCATTTAATAATTTGTACAGATATACTTGCCTAAAAGAAAAACTGCCATAAAATTTTCTCCAATTATATTTAGCATTAGCAATAAAGTTTTATCTAGCTTAGAATTTTAATGGACATGCACATGATTGTGTATGTTGTAGTTGGGAGGTAAAGGAGCAAACTTGGCAGAAATGGCAAGCATTGGGCTGTCAGTGCCACCAGGGCTTACAATATCAACAGAAGCATGCCAAGAGTATCAACAGAATGGCAAGAAGCTACCTGATGGACTGTGGGACGAGATAACGGAAGGTTTGAAGAGTGTGGAGAAGGATATGGGGGCTTTCCTTGGCGATCCGGCCAAGCCACTCCTCCTCTCTGTTCGCTCTGGTGCTGCGGTAAGGCATTTTATGTGTGTTTAAGTGTGCTTTTCATCATTTGACACGTAACGTTAAAATGGCTCTAACCATTATCATGGTATTTTCAACCTATTCATGAGTTTCACATCAAGAATGCTAGTAGAAAAGTGATGTAATGTGAGAGGTGGAAAACAACATTCAACATCTGAATTAATTCTAGGAAAAAAAATGGCATGTTGAAATCTGAAACTTGGTTATAAAAACCTCCATCCCACCCCGGTATGGGATCAAAAAGTACATATTCGAATCAGGTCAATGGTAAAGAATTGTACTTTGAAACTTGAAAATAAGGGTTGAGAATGAGAATTACATTTTTGCGCATATAATCAGAAAGTTCGGTTTTTTCCAAGTTGTTGGTAGTCACTTTTCTTATGTTCATCTTAAATTCTTTTATTTTATTTTTTGATAAGTATATGTTCATCTTAAATTCTTAATCAATTAGTGATAGAACTCTCTTCTTTTCTGCCTTCATTGAACTTAATTAGGTTCTATGCCATAAGATTTGTGCTGGGAAGCTGTAATTTGGGATAACATATATTTAAGATTGGGGATTATGTTATGCTTGCCTCTTTTGCAGCCGTGTTGCTATCACTCCTTCGATTCTGTATAACAAAATAAAATTAGAAAAAAATCAGGAAATGAGTTTAAACATAGATTAAAAACTGCTTAATTTTAATTTAAGAAGTTATGAAAATAAATTTTCTGTGATAGAAAAGTATGAAAAATGGTGGATTAAATAAAATTATAGGAAAGGATGAACCATTTGCAACATTTGTAATTGAAATGCATGTTAAAACTTGAGACTCTTGTCTGCAAATTCTTGCAAGAAAAGAAATTATTTCTTTTTGTTTAGTAGGGCTATGGTTTATTTTGAGTGAAAATCAGTAGAGGACTTACTTCGAGCAATTGCATCTGCAAGTATGCAACCACAATATATACATTTAATCTGCCCATATGTAGATTGTCCCTAACTGAATATTTATATATTTTCCAATTCATTTATAAACATTTTCTTTCATATAATATTTAGATATCTATGCCTGGTATGATGGACACTGTGCTCAACCTTGGACTAAACGATGAAGTGGTTGCTGGTTTGGCTGCAAAAAGTGGAGAGCGGTTTGCATATGATTCATACAGACGGTTTTTGGACATGTTCGGAGACGTTGTGAGTGTTCCTTTTCTAATGCAAATCATTATATTATCTGAGAAATACGTTGTTTTGATCTTGTCAGCTCTGTGTGGATCAACTTGCTTTCTTAGATTACTAAGTAATTTGTTCTGCAAGTTCCCTAGGCAAGAAAAATCTTTCACATCAATGCAATTGATTGATAATTCTGACACTAAATTGTTCTAGCTCAATTTATTTTGCTCTTTTGTTTCATTGAAGGTAATGGGAATTTCACACTCATTATTTGAGGAAAAGTTAGAAAAGTTGAAAAATGAGAAAGGAGTGGGGCTTGATACCGATTTAAAAGCCTCTGATCTTAAAGAGCTGGTGAAACAATATAAGAGTGTCTACCTGGAAGCTAAGGGTGAAAAGTTTCCCTCAGGTACCAAGTTACATCAAAATCAAAAGTCCAAGATTGTTTCTATCTATTTAGAATATTTATTTACATTACTATGTTTTTAATTTACTAGTCCATTTTGCTTATATATATATATATACAGACCCAAAGCAGCAGCTACAGTTGGCTGTCAACGCGGTATTTAATTCCTGGGATAGCCCCAGGGCCATTAAATATAGGAACATTAACCAGATAACTGGGTTAAAAGGAACTGCAGTGAACATTCAATGCATGGTGTTTGGGAACATGGGAAACACATCAGGAACTGGTGTTCTGTTCACTAGGAACCCAAGCACTGGTGAAAAGAAGCTCTATGGGGAGTTTCTGATCAATGCTCAGGTCACCAAATGCGCGCTATGCCAATTTTGATCCTCTTTGTTGTAAATTTATTTATATCAATTATTTTATTGTTACTCTACGATCAATCTGATAAGCAGCTTGAATAGGGAGAGGACGTTGTTGCTGGAATTAGAACTCCGGAGGACTTGGACACTATGAAGAGTTGCATGCCTGAAGCTTACAAAGAGCTTGTGGAGAATTGTGAAATTTTGGAGCGACATTACAAAGATATGATGGTAAAATTTCCTATCTTGATGGAAAATGATATCATACCTATCTCATTTTGTGCTTCTTGGATTTCTATGCTTTTCAGGGTCTTTAATCACATTTCTTCTAACTATTGGAATGGTACAAAATGAAAAATAACTAGCTAAAGTTTCCCCCCAAAATAAAAATTAATTAACGGTTGTCAATACATTTTTTGTTGGTGTAAGTTGTTGTAATAATTTAGTAATGTTGTTTATGGTGCACAGGATATAGAGTTTACTGTTCAGGAGAATAGGCTCTGGATGCTGCAATGCCGAGCAGGCAAGCGCACAGGTCATGGTGCAGTGAAGATTGCTGTGGACATGGTTAATGAAGGGCTCGTGGACACTCGTACAGTAGTTAAGATGGTGGAGCCACAGCATCTTGACCAACTGCTTCATCCACAGGTACGTGTCAATCAAAACTACATGTTATAAAGACGAAATGATTTGTCTTTCTAACTATAAGCAAATATAGTACATTCTTAATGTTAACACAAAGTACTAACTATAGCACGGCATCTGAACTTCCGATCGTTAAAGATTTTCAACTATTGATGATTTGATATTAAGGAACTAATAAACAATTTCTATGCAGAGTCTAATGGTTTTAAATTACATCGTCGAATAAAATTATTATGTGTGTGTATATATATCCCAGTCAATTAATTAACTTATACTAGCTCATAATTTGCGTTACTTTTGGTGTCTTATATGAGTGCAACGACGTGTAATTGTTGGATGCTTTCTTTCATTAGTTTAATAGGCAGGACGTATACATATTTGTGCTACATATGCACACTTATGGTTAAAGCTCTTAATAATCTCATATGTATTTGTTAAATTAGTTTGAGAATCCTTCTGCTTACAAAGACCAAGTGATCGCTATGGGCTTGCCTGCATCTCCTGGAGCAGCTGTGGGGCAGGTTGTATTCAGCGCTAACGATGCTGAAACATGGCATGCACAGGGAAAGACTGTCATCTTGGTATGGTCATATCTGTCTTTATTTTCTTTTTAGAATGGTTTAAGCTGATCAAATAATTCATATCAAGTTATTTACCGGAAAAAAATAATTCATATCTAGAACAATCTCAGGAATGCAAAGGAATGATTTGGTTCTAACTTCCATTCCCGACATTGTTTTTAAAATTTCATCTTAAATTAATGGTCATGATTTCTTACGGGATCACATTTCTGTCAGCTAAACTGATTCCTGATCCATTTCAATTGTTGTTTATGATTGTGTATGGCTGAAGGTACGGACAGAAACCAGTCCAGAGGATGTTGGTGGTATGCATGCTGCCACTGGAATATTGACAGCTAGAGGCGGCATGACATCTCATGCAGCTGTTGTAGCCCGTGGGTGGGGAAAGTGTTGCGTTTCAGGTTGTGCGGAGATTCGTGTGAATGAAGCTGTGAAGGTTGAGTTTTCAATAATTAAGTGAGATGGTAGTTATTACAGTAGTAGTAGGGATTTATTATTTCGTTGTAATGCAGGTCGTTGATTGTGGAGGCAAGGTTATCAGGGAAGGTGACTGGCTTTCACTCAACGGATCTACAGGAGAAGTGATCTTGGGTAAACAGCCACTCTCTCCTCCAACTCTAAGTGGTGATTTGGAGATTTTCATGTCTTGGGCTGATAAAATAAGGCGTCTCAAGGTGCTGCATTTTTATGTCATGGATGTGTAATCCACTGTTATTCAGTGTCGGAAATTTTTCTATAATGTGATTCTGTGATAGGTTATGGCAAATGCTGACACACCTGAAGACGCACTAACAGCACGAGAAAATGGTGCTCAAGGAATTGGACTTTGTCGAACGGAGCACATGGTAACTGTCTCTCCATTTTTCTTCTTCAGTGTTGCATTGTATTGAATTTATTCAGACTGCTAAAGTCTTTAACTTCTTCATCTATTGTGGTGTCTTTCAGTTCTTTGCTTCTGATGAGAGGCTAAAGGCCGTGAGAAAGATGATAATGGCAGTTACGGTCGAACAGAGGAAGGCAGCACTAAATGTGCTGTTGCCTTATCAACGAGCTGATTTTGAAGGCATTTTCCGTGCAATGGATGGTACTATCCTCTTATAAGTAAATGTGACATAATTTTGACTAAAATTAAGGTATGGCACTGTCATTGTGCCCATCTTGAAGGACACGATGTGAATTAGTAGTGCGGTATTTTCTCCCCCAGCCTTTTGGTTACAAGTTAGATTTAGGGCCAAAATGGATCATGCAGTAGAAGATTGGTAGCTAAGCTGGTGGAAAATTTCAAGTCTTTCTTGATTTACAAGATGAAATATTAATATTTCAGGTCTTCCCGTGACAATCCGACTGTTAGACCCTCCACTCCATGAATTTCTACCAGAAGGTGACTTAGAGCAGATTGTTGGTGAACTAACTGCAGAAAGTGGCATGAGTGAAGATGATGTATACTCAAGAATTGAGAAATTATCAGAAGTAAATCCCATGCTTGGTTTCCGTGGCTGCAGGTCTGATGTCTGATTTTATGAGCTTTTCTATATAGTTTCGTTCGGATTAGTCTTTTCTCCATGCATTTAGCTCAAACTATTTTTTTCTAAATCGTTTGTCATTATATATCATAGACTATGATAATGTTATAGAACTGAAAACATTATATTCGATATCTGGTACATTATGTCATGTTAGAATTATAATGACCAGATAGTTTATTCAAGAATGCATGGAACATATGACCACAGTCATATCTACCTCGGCCATGAATCTAATGGTGCACAGGTCTCAAAATTTCATGCTTTATCCGGAGCAACTGGATTCCGGACCAAAGGTCCTAAATAAACAGTTTTAAAACAAGTGCCCACCTCTTTGAATCTTCGATTCCCTATATCTGTCTCATTTAAAAATAAATGAGGGCAATATATAACTCCCTTCATGTAAATGTTGCTTTGTGTGCAAACCTTTGATCATGTCTCTTTAGCTTTAAAGGCTTATTTTCAAGAATATTTAGTGAACCAAATAATAAATGTTTTCATTGGATCTTTCTAACTTGCCAACAGGCTGGGGATATCGTACCCAGAGCTAACTGAAATGCAGGTACGTGCAATCTTGCAGGCTGCTGTGTGTATGAGCAACCAGGGTGTTACTGTCTATCCCGAGATAATGGTTCCCCTTGTTGGAACACCGCAGGCATGAATCTCGATCTTCGTTTTTGTCTTTCTCATCACTTATTTCTGAGTCTTGGTTTAATTTGGTACTTCAAAATGAAAGGGGAAAGGCTGATCATTTCTCCAATAGAGCTATCTTTTGACCCCGCCTTTCTTCCCAACCCGTCACTATTTGATTCTTTTCTATTTCTTCCAACACGTACTTCGTTATTCTGAGTATGATTAGCCATTTGTGTGTATCTTGATATCAGAAAATCAGAACTTGATATGATTTTGATTAATGCTTATTTATAAATATAAGCAGCCTATCTTTCTAAAAATTGGCACTTTTCGAGCTGCAGGAACTAGGACATCAAGTGAATTTAATTCGCAGTGTTGCAAAAAAAGTATTTTCGGAGATGGGTACCTCCTTGAGCTATAAAGTGGGGACCATGATTGAGATTCCTCGAGCTGCTCTTGTTGCAGATGAGGTATGTTGATATAAAATTCTCTTCTCAATGTTTTTGTGAAAAGCCTTTTATGAATTTATGGTATATGCTATGGTAACTACTAATTTGGGGGATTCTGAAGCTCAATTAAAGTGTTATGCTGCAATTCTCTTCTTTAATAAAAAAAAAGTCTATCTATTATATCTAATTGATGCTTTTATTCTTTAATTAATATTGGTAGATTGCGAAAGAAGCAGAGTTCTTCTCTTTTGGCACCAATGATCTCACCCAAATGACATTTGGGTACAGTAGAGATGATGTTGGCAAGTTTCTCCCTATATACCTATCCAAAGGCATTCTCCAAAATGATCCATTCGAGGTTAGTTAAACCGTATGCAAGTCCATTGGGTTTGCAGCAGACTTTTCAAATACAAAACTAGCATGATTTTACACATAAATGAAAAATATTGCTTGGAAATAAAAACCGGATATCTTGTTATTAGGTTCTTGATCAGAAAGGTGTGGGCCAACTTATCAAGATTGCCACGGAAAGGGGTCGCAGAGCAAGGCCTAGCTTGAAGGTGAGTAGCAACTCTGTATGCTATTAGGAAGGCCCGTTGCTTGAACTGATGAAATATGTGATTTATTTTTTCCCCTTAATTCTTACAGTCTCATTTACTTTCATTCCGTGGTTGTGGGATGATGTTGATCAGAGAATTGCGCAGATTCTTTAAGTAGTTGATCACAACTTGATCATATAAAACCTTTTTCTATAAATGAATGGATTTATAGATTTTAAAATGGTCAAATTTTAAAATCTCATGGAAAATTAACTCCAACCATGTGAGATCTGATCCATAAATTTACCAAATCCGACCCATGTACGTAGGTCCAACCTGTTTAATGCTGGTTCCATTGCAAGTATGTGAATAGAAAAGTGAGCTAGCACTTCCAGACCATGATATTGAGAAGTTGTATTTGAAGCTTTTAGTTAGTTAGTTAGTTGTATGCAGATATTATAATTGATGTTGACAACCAACAGGTTGGAATATGTGGAGAGCATGGAGGGGAGCCTTCTTCTGTTGCATTTTTTGCAGAGGCTGGACTGGACTATGTCTCGTGTTCTCCGTTCAGGTAGACTTGTTTTGTAGTTGCTTTAAGAGAATAGAAATGTTGACAAAAAGGTCTCGAGTTCAAACCTCACTGTGACAACTAAAATTGGAACATGTGTTTGACCTAAAGAAGGCCACACGTGAGGGGTGCGTAGAGGATATAAATATTATAATTAACCCTCTATGATAGCTTAAACTTTTAGAGTAATAGGTATTTGTAAGACAATAAAAATGGAAAAAGAGATGGGAATTGAAACTAAGGGTATGCTTGGTTTGTAACTCTTAAAACAGTTTTCAAAAGCTCATAAAACAGAAAACTGCTTTTATAGTTGTCTAGAGACATGCATTTTTATAACTGAGTTTTATAAAATAGTTTTCAGAAAACTGAACCAAGCAGAATTTTTGTGCAGTTTTCTATTATTAGTTTCAGAGTTACAAATCGAGCAAACCCTAAATATTTGGATTCCTTATGAACAAAGCTAAACTCCAGTATCATAAATGTAATTCTAATCTAAACGACGTTCTCGTGACAGGGTGCCTATTGCTAGGCTAGCTGCAGCTCAAGTTGCTGTGTGATAGACTGGTCTGCAAGAAAATTTGAGAAGTGGACTATCTCGAACACCTCTCTGCGACTTTGTGCAGTTGTAAATAAATAACCTTGTTAATAGAAAAGTCACATTCACATAGTAAAAGGGTGGAATACTAGTGTTTAATGTTATAGAAGTGAAGTCTATAGTGAAAATCCTCATGTTGAGAGATACTGTATCTGAAATTTATGTACTGTAGACATTCTCTATCTATATATGTTTTTGTTTCCAATAAATTTCCAAAACACAGTGTTCTTTCGATAATTGGATTCTATTTCTTTTTCTCATTTGGATGAGCAATCTTACATGAATTTTGTGTTCTTATCGAGAAATTATTGTACATGACTGTCCATACACCTCAAATTAAGGGACATTGTGATTTTAGTATTGATGATGGATTTATGTTAAGTCATGTGAATATATAGTAGTGTTTGAAAAAGAAAAACCAGAGCCATAGTAGGTGAAAAGTTGAGATTTTGTTAGATGGGACAACACTATTTCTTTAAATATTATAATTGTAATAGTTTTAAGATTGGGATGTAAATTTGAGAGGAGGATTGTATTATTTGATTTTATTAGTGGAGATTTGTCAGCTGTATCAATAGTTGGAAACGTACTTTGTTGAGTGGATAGTTATTGGTTGTGAATTCTCCCTATACATTGAACCTTTTGGTGCTATTACTAGTTGATTTCTCTAATTCACAGTTTAATTGTATCTGTAACCTAACAAAGTAGTACAAGAGCTAGGTGCCCCACAAATGAAATCAGAAACATAGAGTTGTTGCAAAAATAACATTAAAAAAAAAAAAAAAAAAAAAAAAAGCGTAAAACACAATGTAGGCGGTTGATCCAAAACTAGTACACGGTTGATCCAAAACGGTTGATCCAAAACTAGTGTTACGTCAACAGAGTTGGTGAGATTTCATTACGACGAAGCGTAAACGGTAAAACCATTTCCTACTATACGTATAGAATTAGGATTATATAATAACTGTGAAAATACCAAAATATCCCCAGAAGAAGGTAAGAAAAAGCTATCATCTGCGAATGCACGGTAAGGCATGGCCAGCCCTAAGAGGACCAACATTTTGGAAGGCCCTAGGCGAATGTCCTAAATTTGAGAGGGCCGTCCTAGGCCGAGTTTTTTTTTGGCCCAAATTGAAAGCCCTCAGCTGCTGCCTGGGCCAGGGTCGGCCCTGCGGTAAGTTGTATAGCGGTATCTGGCTACACACTTTCTATCAAGAGTAAGAATAAGCTAGCACTGGATTGCAAGTTTGTTGCCCAATAATGCCAACAAATTCTGGTTAGCTAATGCAGAAATATTAATCTTTTGCTTAAACACTGGAAGGAAATTGCAAAGTCATGCGCAAAATATTTATCAATCTGAACTGATCAAGCTACTTTACCTTAGTTGTAATGCTTCTTCTTTCTCCTGCATAGGAAAAACTTTGTGGATTTTGTTTTATGGTTTCCCTTTAAATAATTGTCTCATAATTGCCTCATTACTGTACCAATTAGATATGGTATCAAACATTCACAACTGCTTCTCTTTCTTGTCTCTCTCCCCCACCATCCCTTTTTGACTTTCAAGGTCTTTTTAGGAAATAAACAACAAAGAAATCCAACATCAACAAACGTCCAAAGGAGGCTATAGAAAGAAAAGTTTGACCTCATTGCCAATGAATCAATATAACATCCACTTTCTCAAAACAATCAATTAATTAATCTTTCTCTTTTAGAAATTAGTACATCCATTTGTCTCTGAGACTCGAACCATCACTTTTCATTTTAAAAAGTGAAAAAAAATACATAAGCAACAGCCCTTGACAATTTTTTTCCTTCCCCCAAAAAAAAATTCCAACAATTATAAAACTATAATAATTTGCGAAACAGAACTAATGGGAATAGAAAACAATCACACAAAAAACACTCGTAACCTAAACCGAATTTGTGATTTAAACCCCACAACCTCAACACCCCATTCATTCCCTTCTAAGATTCCAATTATGTATAGTCAACACATTCTTGATTGAATTTCTTAGGCTTTATTCACCTATTAAAAAGAAAGTTACAGCTGTGCTTGTTAATAAAGGCACTCTTGAGATCCTCAACAGAATAATTATGTTGGGAGACATATAAGTCAAGTTTATTTTTTTTTTTCTTTATATGGAGGGTTCCTATTAAATGGAAGAAAATAATAAAATACTAGTTTCACTGGTAGGAGTAGTTCTGGCTTAGCTTTCATGACAAATGGAGCTCAACAACATGGTTCCATAGTCAACCTCCAACTCCAGTCCATGGAGCAGTTGGGATTTTTGTTTTGTCTCTATAACTACTTCTCTCTCTCTCTCTCTCCACCCATAAAACAAGACCCCCACCTTGGTTGATTTGTCTACATTGTACATTCAAGAGAGTTTTCCATTAGTGAAGCATTTTTTTTGAGACCAATGCAATCAATTAAGGTTAGAGAAAGTTCCTGCAATTTCCAATTATCTTACATTCTGCACATCCTTGGCAGGAAGGTTTGGCACCTATGCTCAAGAATCCGGTGGCCGTCGATATGGAGGCGTTCGAAGCCCAGAGTTATCATTAGGAGATTTGGGAAGCTGAGTTGCAAAGGCCATCCTCACCCTAAAGAAAAATTAGGCGCCAAATCTGTCAACCTTCTGAATGGCCAACCAGTAAGGGGTGGTATATCAGAAAGGCCCATCAGGATTGCAACATTCAATGTTGCCATGTTCTCTCTTGCACCTGCTGTTCCAAAGGCAGAGAAGTCAGTTGTTTTTGTCCATGAAGATGATCAATATGTAAAAGTTGGTAGTCAGGCCAAGTCCATGAACAGTCTTCCCAAGAGCATACTCAAGCAGTCGCCTCTCCATCCCGCGATAAACTATCCCGAGCATCTTTCAGAGCAAGTAAAGCTCACGAAAGCAAAACTGAGAGTTTCGATTAATCTTCCTGATAACGAGATCTCATTAGCTCACAACAAGGTGCTCGGTGTTGTGGAAGACGAAAAAGATGGATGCTCTAGCAAGATTTTAAGTACAGAGCATAAAAGCCAAGTGCCAATGAGGTCCCCGGTGTGCTTCCCTCCCGGTATGAGTATGATAAATTATATGGATGATGGAAGCTTGAGAGGCAGCAGAACCATTCTCGATGTTCTTAGGGAGGTCAATGCTGATATCTTGGCTCTACAAGATGTGAAGGCTGAAGAGGAGAAAAACATGAAGCCTCTGTCCGATTTGGCTCGGGCTTTGGGGATGAAGTATGTGTTTGCGGAGAGCTGGGCACCAGAGTATGGGAATGCCATCTTGTCAAAATGGCCGATTAAGCGGTGGAAAGTCCAGAAAATCTTTGATGATCAAGATTTCAGGTACTTTTCTTTCCTCCCTTTAGGCTAATTAGCCCTTTTTGTTTCCTACTTTAAATTTGTTATCTTACTGTAATGGTCAAAAAGACAAAAAAAATTCACATTTGTCCAATTCCTCAAGCATTCTATAAAGAAGGGTTTTGTTTTCTCAACATAATCCAGATTTTTGTTGTTTAGTACATATTGTATCTGATGAGTTTCAACGCTATTTTATACACAAACATATATATACACGTCTATAAATATAATCAAGGGATTATTACATAAAAATGGTGCTAATAGCCCATATTTATCATTTGATAGAGTCAAAGTCTCATAGTTTTGAAAAAATGGAGTTGACCAAATTGCTGATGTGGACATGGAAAAATACCGTTCATTTCATTCTCACAAAGATACGACTTTTAGGTACACAGGTACCACTTTTTGTATATACATGTATCACTTTTTGTGTATCAGGTACCACTTTTGTTTTGGGCATAAAGGTACAACTTTTGTTCACATAGGTACCACTTTTTAGTACATCAGGTACTATTACTTTCTTTCTTTTTTTTTTTTTTTTTTTTTTCAGCACAAAGCAAAAAGTAGTACTTGATAACAAAAAGTGATACCTATGTGTTTAAATGTGGTATCTTTGACGGTAAACATTGTTTTTTCATGTTTTTATTTTTTCGAAACTACGAGACTTTAACTTTATCAAATGAAAAATATGGGTCATTGGCACCATTTATATGTAATAATCCCTATAATCAATTAAGTTTGTGGACGGACTTTAGGTAAAATAAAACGAATTGAATTGGAGGGATAATCACACATATAATCTCAGTTTTGTTTAATGTTGAATGCAGAAATGTGTTGAAAGCAACGATTGACGTGCCACGGATAGGAGAAATTAACTTCTTCTGCACCCAACTTGACCATCTAGATGAAAGTTGGAGGATGAAGCAGATTAATGCAATAATTCAATCAAATGATTATCCTCACATCTTAGCAGGAGGTCTTAACTCTCTTGATGGATCAGATTACTCATTACAGAGATGGACAGACATTGCCAAGGTAAAATTTCTATTATTCCCAAGAAAGCCACAACAAAATGTAATTCCTTTGTTCTTAATCTGATCCATATTCACATTGCAGTATTATGAGGAGATAGGAAAGCCTGCACCAAAGGTTGAAGTGACGAAATTTCTGAAGGGAAAAGGGTATGCTGATGCAAAGGACTTTGCAGGGGAGTGTGAGCCTGTGGTCATCATTGCCAAAGGCCAAAGTACAAAACCTCACCGCCGTTTTCAATTCAATCAACACACACACACACACACTACTCTTATGTTCCAGGCATATAGATTAAATAAAAGCTTGTGAAAACAGGTGTGCAGGGGACATGTAAGTATGGGACTCGAGTGGATTACATACTGAATTCTTCAGACTTGCCCTACAAATTTGTTCCTGGTTCATACTCGGTCATTTCATCCAAAGGTACTTCTGATCACCACATTGTTAAGGTTGATATCGCGAAAGCAGTAAACAATGCTGGAGGGCTTGTCAGACGAAGGCAAAAAGTAAAGCGAAAGGTTGTAAGGATAGTAAACTCTTGTTCATCAAGTGAAATAGATAGATAATAAATTGAACTTCTTTCCCAGAAACTTTTTATTTCAGTAGGAACTCGGGACATTTATTGAAAGAACATATATGTTGTTGTTATCAATTATATTAATAGGTGCTTGTTGGTCTTACGAACTTGGGCTTCAGAAGAATCAGAAAACGCCCGTGACATGATCACGTTTTACTTTTTGTAGTGTTGATATCAACACATATTTTTGTTGCTCGTATAGGATTCTCAATGATGTAATGAAACTAAACCAATTCATGCAATATTTATCATAATTCGCGGCAGCCCCATTTTTATATTGCTTTCTATCTCTTACTGGTTTTGGTAATGAGGAATTAATTGTTTGGTGAAATTATAAAAGCTCGGGCTGATAACCAATTCTTAGAGGTGCAAGTATGAGTTTAAAAGCAGTTGTTTTGTCCAGTTAGGTGATGGCCTTTTTTAGTGGTTTTAGTTATGACTAAGGATGGATTCATGGCATAGCATGTTTCAGAAAACAAGAGAGCAAATTTTTTAATCCGAGTAGTGCACTTTCAGATCAAACTTCTTGGAGTAGTTCAATTTTAACGTTAAAAGGTCAATGGTAGGTGAGAGCACTTTTGAACAGCTTTGTGATAGCTGAAATGAATTACTTTATGATTAGTCCTAGAAAAGGTTCCTGAGCTGCTTTTTCTGAAGTCACTTTACCTAAATTTGACAATCCTGCAAGGTCTAATCGTAGCATTTTATATATCTATTAGTCAATTATAAAACAATCATGGCAGAATGAATTGCGCCAATGCTGCAATTTGACTAAAAATACTGCATCAGACATGCCACTCTTGGTGTGTTCTGTTCCTCCCAAAAGATTTGGGTTTTCTTGACATGGGTTAGTGGAATGAATTAATTACAAGTTCATGTTCAAGGTACAGTGCATATGATATACCAATTGTTGTTTTTAGGTGTATTTAAACATCAACTGAGATGAAGAATTTGAGAAAGAGGGAGATGGAGATCCATGTAGCTCAAGAGAAACCAGATTGATAATCTTTTCATTTTTTTAAATGTATTTAAACATCAACTAAATGTGTGTTTGAATCTTCCATGATAAAATGAGGTTGCTTCTACAATGTATAAATGTTTATTTGGTTGCTTTGGGACAGGTTTACCATGGCCTAAAAGGCCAATTCATAGCTTAGGAAGGATGGGGTCAAAAGGAGGCCAAACGGCCATTTTTCTGGGTTTTCTACGACCGGGCGTAGCCTTGCTATGACCTGGCGTAGGTATTATGTTTGGAACACTTCGTTGCATTTTTTACAGGACAAAATGTTTGGGAATCTACGACCGGGCGTAGGAGTCTACGACCGAGCGTAGCTCCCATGACTTAGTCATTTTCAGCCTCCTTCCACATCTTCAATTGAGGCCTGATTTCAATTGGCTGTAACTTCTTCTTTTCAAACCCGACTTGTAACAACCCAAACCTGGGGTCCAGATCTGTAACAACCCAAATCCGGGGGATTCGGATCTCTAACCGGGTCCTCACCCGACTCGAGGTCACACAAGGGTAAAATGGTTAATTAACATCAAGGGGGATATAATGTGACTCCAAGTAAGTCAAATGAGGTGTATACAATCCATTATAGTCACTCCATGACATTCTAAGAGGTCCTATGGGAGTTAGTCATGGTTCTCCACAAATACCCCTTATTGGTTTGGAGGATTTTCGGAGTAGTTTGCAATAAAATGGCTATAAATTCCTCCATAGTTGGAATTTTTGAATGAAATTTGTGCTATTGGAAATCTGACTCAAAATTATTAGACGTAGACTCAAATTTGGCCCAATTTGGTAAAGAAATGAAGGAGTTATGATTGCTTGAAATTAGGGGTCCAAAACTAGAGTTTTGCCAACACAAAATAATTATTGGGGACCTGAACCAGTTCAGGATACTTGAACCAGTTCAAAATGGATAGTGTGCCCACGTTGGGAACCTAATATCACCCTTGGACCGGTTTAATGGGCTAAACCAGTTCAAGAAGGGTAGAATAAAAAAAATGGCCCAGAAAAGCCTGATTTGAATGCAAGGGTTAAGGACACCTCTTAGGTCCCATGGAAGATCATTTGAATGCAAGGGTTAAGGACACCTCTTAGGTCCCATGGAAGATCATTAGGGTGCTTCCTAACCTGCTTAAACATGATATATATACAACATCCTAAGTTCCCATTACACCTATAGACATGAATTTGCAAAATCATTCAATCATCTACATAACTAATTTCGTTCATTTGAGTTACGTAGTCAAATTAGTCCATTTATAATCATAACTCATTTTGTCATTCATGTTCAAAATAACTCATTACATCATTGTCCAAAATATACATAATATAGTCCCAAAAGAATAAGATTACAAGTTTGAGACCCTTAAGGTTATTGATGAGCCCTGAAAAGTGTGCTTTTAAATCCCTTAAGCTTGAGTGTTCTAGGACCTTTATTTATCTTATTTTTTCATTTTAGTACTTATTTGTGTTTTTGTCTATTTCAGGTCAATAATGTTAAAATGGGCTAAAAATGGTTTTTTAAGGCCTTTTTGGAGTCAAACTAAGTCTTAGTGATGATCCGAAGCAAAAAGAGGTTGATTTGGAGCAAAAAGAGGCTGATGTTGAAAAGCTGCCAAGTGAGATCGATTGTGAGATCGATTGAAATTTTCTGAGATCGATCAAAGTTGGATCGATCGAAGAAAAAAGTCTGATTGATCGAACATGTGCTGGCAGCGAGCTGTCTTATTCCTGTGTGTGCCCGAATTCTCACCTACCACATAGTACGGGATTAGATATTTTTGGGGCTATATTTCTGACTTAGTGGCTAACAAAAGGACCTTCTATATAAAGGGAAGTGACCCATTTTGTAAAGAAGCTTTTTATCATTTTATTTTTACATTGTAATTTTTATTTCTCTCTCTAGAAAAGTTAGAGATTAGGGTTAGAAGAAAAGAAGGAAGTGGATGCACATCTCAAGAACCCATCTATAGATCCACACACACTCTCTCTCTAGAGCTTCAAAGAAGAAGAAGAAGAAGAGGAAGAAGAAGATGGAGCCATGTTTCGAGCTTGCCCTTGAGGATTTCATGACCACATCTACCTCCTCCATGATTGGCTAGGTCTAAACTTAGGGCTTGGATGAACCCTAAGTCTTGTGTAATCTAAACCCTTGTATTTCTATTTTTGGGGATTTATATATATTGTTGTGATTAGTGTTCTAGCCTTGTGAATTTAATGAATCTTGGTATATTTCTATGATTTCTATGGTTTAATTCTTTCTATTAATTCTCTAGTTTATTTACATGTCTATGTGTGATTACATTAGGAATTATTTCTTACATGATTCATATGGATTAATTCTTTCTATTGATTCTCTTTGTGATTACATGTTGTCTTATGTGTGATTATTTGGGAATTGATCTCTACACTAGTTTTTCTATATTAATTGTATGTCTATGTGTGGTTGATTGAGAACCTAGTGATGGCTAGACATGGGTTTTCATTGAATGTGTTTATCAATTAATTTGATGGATTATACTTATGCTTGATGGGTTGTTTTACAATTTAATTCATGTTTGTAGGTAGGTAGACAATCTATACTTGATTTGATATTCCATGGCTTATTATTGCAAATTCCATGGTTCTCTAGATTGACGTGTGCTACAATTGAGACTAGTTTGATGGGTCATGCTTAGATTTGATGGGTTGTTCTACACTTAGTTTATTTGTTGGTTAGGTAGACAATTCATACATGAATTTGATGATCCATGCTTAATATTGCAATTGGTAGTCACATTTTGTTCACAACAATGTATTCCCCATTAATGGAAAGCAAGTGGTTAATTACATGAGCTTAGTGGTGATTCCAACACCCTAAGACCTTTCTTCATATCTCTTAAATCCCTATCTCTCACTAGTTTACTTTTCTTGCATTTTAATTTCACTGTATCTTAGTTTAATCAACCAATCTCTCTCATTTGCAATCTTTTGATACGCTAGAGTCGAAGTTAAATTCCAACACGTATAATCCCTTGGGACGATCCCTACTCACTCTTGCTACGTTAGTAGTAGTGGAGGTAGTGGTTTTTATAAATTTAAATTTGATCTAAAAGGCTTTTCTTGAACTGCACATTCACTACATTATTTTGGCGTATATAAACGGCCACCGTTAGTTATCTTCACAAGAGAAGTGAAGTCAATAAACATTAGTTACAAAATTCCTAAAAGATGCTCCCGTTAACTGTAATGACCCTAAATTGAATACCAATTATCAAAAAAATTTGGCATGACCTCTGCTAAAATATATAATACATTCCCAAAACAACTACATCAACAATCTCCTCAAGATCACCCATCATCATCATCATTCCATTCAACACAAAATATTTACATAATCTCACTTCCCCTCAAAATACCGACAAGAGTTATAGTTTACAATACATAACCATGGCTTGCAAAATGCATACACTTCACTATGGTTTTGAGACTTTACAAAAGTGTAGCAAATATACAAAAGATAGCAAAAAATATATTCCCAGTCCTCCTTAAGTTTGTGAAGGGTCTGCGTCTCCTACTTCCTTCCTGAGTCTTGAAAAAATGTTAAATGTAATGGGTGAGCAAATTGCTCAGTAGGTGGTTCCTAAGACACACCTCTTGTTGCCTCGTGAATCCAAATAATGAATAGGGATAGAGGATGGGGGTCATGCTATGCCAGGAAAGAATACAATATTAATTCTAATTTTCAAATAAACAATGCCGTGCCATGATATGCGATGCCATGTATATCGCTCCCCACTTTCAAAATCCAAATCCATTACTTTTCAAACTGTTAATATAACCCGTCCGTTGGTGACTCCGTAGCGACACGAGAGAAGGATTAGCTACTGTCCCCGACCCTTGGTACCCCCGCGGCGTCATTTAGGGCCCAGATAGCTCAACCACGCTAGGGTGTTTTCCCTAATTTCCTATAGGTTACATTAACACACTGGCCCTTTGGTGACTCCGTGACGACCGGGTTTTCTCAAAACCATTTAATCAATATTTCTTCCCAAAAATCCTATTTTATTTATTTTTTTTTCAAAACATTTCCCGTCCTTCATGACCCATGACATGCATGTATGTCTCATGCCTTCAATACCATGGAAACAAGATATTTTCAAGTAACATAATTAATCATTCTTTGCCAAAATTTTCAAAGAAAACACATATAGTTACATACATCATTTCTAACACAATTCACAACATGATAGACATAGGAAATCAACATTTAAGCAT